GAAAAGGCGGAACTCAGTATGCCCGATATTGTAATGTCTGGCTCCACCATTCCCACCAAGCCCACCATATCTATGCCGATCTATGCTCGGTATTTCCATCAGCAACACTCTTTCATGGGATAATCATGTCAGATCCATCGCAAAGCTGATTCACAAAAATTCGGATTCTTGTTCCGTGCGAAAAGCTACTTTACACCTCAACCAGCTTCCCATGATCTACAAAGCGCAGATACGGCCTGTTCTAGAATACTGTTCCCACATATGGGGTTCAGCACCAAAACATACGCTGATGCTCTTAGATTCCATCCAGAGAATAGCCATTCGCCTGGTGGGTGACGCCACACTCACTCACTCTTTGACATCATTGGAACACCGTAGAAAGGTCGGCGACCTTTCACTTTTCTATCGATACTTCCACGGGAAATGTTCTTCGGAAATCTCTGCTATCATCCCTTCACTAGCATTACCAATCAGACGAACTAGACAAGCCCAGTCAGCACATCCTTTCGTTGTCAACCACGAAAGATGTCGAACAGCACTTTATCAAGACTCCTTCATCCATAGAACGCGAGATAGAACGCGACTAGGCTCTGGAATTCATTGCCTGAGGAAGTATTTCCAACAACATATAATCTCCAAAAGTTCAAAAAAAAATCCAATACCTACCTCCTGTTCCTATCCTCCCTAGGACCGCACGATGTTCTTTGAACATTATAGGGATTCCCTTTCGTGCGCTCCAAGCGATAAAAAAAAAAATAGTATTGAAACAAATCTGGGCGATCTATTATCATTTATTATCGGCGAATAATCAACAAAAAAATGCTATGAAAACGTGAAAATTGGGGTTGAATGGCGAGATATCGAATAGAGTTATTGGTTTTAATCTAGGTTTTAATAGTACACTCATTTTCCCGATTTGTTCCTATAATGTTTCATTTTATTGTAAAATCTTTGGCTGGCGAGATCCTCGGTGAAAATCTCATTTTGACCTGACCTATCCACAATGTAATACTGTATAGGTATATTGACATTACGATGCATCATGAATAAAATTATCATATCATTGTCAATTGGGCATGTCAATGATGAATGTCAAAGGTGACCCATTAAAGAGATTGCAGTTACGAAAACGCCGGTAGATTTTTTGTTTGGCTATGAATGAAAGACTGTGCAAATTTGATGTTTTGATATGTAAACAATAATATTTATTGCCCGGTTATCAACGACTTCTTGGTTATAACCGAAGATATAACATTATATTCTATATGAATGCGAACGTCATCGTATCAGAGTCGGTATTTTAAATTGAATTAAATCATTTGTTCTCCAATTGTTATAATACCAGAAACTGTCATAATATTCAACTACCAATACCATAATCGACTCTAACTAAGAATTCGCTCATTTATGGAAGCTTGAAGATTTACAATCATTTACCAAATTACCTGAAGAAGATGCAAAACGACAAAAGATTCAGGAAGTCTATTGAAAATTTGCTTCTCAAAAAGGCATGCATCTCGGCATGCATTAAATTTTACTGTGATCACCGAGGTGATCACCTATGAGAATTTTTCATCAACACCTTTTGTGTTTGTTTATATAAAATATTTGTTTAAAAAAAATAAATAGATAAATAATGACGTGTACGTCAACTTCAACATTATTTATACATTTTTTTCGATTTCGATCTCACAACTTTTTTTCCGATTCCATATTGAGCTGAGCAGAATCTCCCTCTAAGGCTAGACCTCGGCTTATAGACTTTTTTGACTACAACTCTGATTCCTCGGTTGATTCCGAATAGAAGTACAATTTCCGAGACGATTTCCCTTGGTTATTTTCACCACTCTGTAGGTTGTACCAGTCAGACTATTTTCAGCAATCGATAAAATAGAGTTCTGTTTAATTCAAGAGCACTATTCAAATTTCATTGAACTTTGGAAATCGCACTCAGAGAAACAGAACACAAAATATATTTTTGTAATTTGAAACCTCTAATTATTCCATTATCATAATCGGTTTATTGATTACGTTAACAATTTATTGCAGTAACATTGTTGTTTTTAGTTCGTCATATTACCGTAATACAGCTGGCCAATTTTTTGATTGATATTTTTTTCGCGAAAACGATTCGTTTTTGTAGAAATTGAGTTTTCGAAGTTCCAAGAATGTGTAGATATCTATCAATTGAAATTGCATTGACAACATAAGCATATTATATACGCTGTGTCGTGTCCAAGATAAGGATGTCTATCATGGGGATCGTTTTTATTTTTTATGACGAAATTTAAAGAGATAGAAAAAGTAGAAGGGACACTTTCTCATTTCCACTTTTTAAGCTCTACAGAACAGCGTTGAGTTTTCCGTACGTAGTTTCGTTTCGGTGGAACCATCATCCCCATGATAGACATCCTTATCTTGGACACACTGTATATCACCCGCTTTATTGTCCTAGACCTAGAACAAACTTTCTTTCCATGATTTCCATCCGAATGGATTCATATAATGGTCCTTGAAAGGTTCGCAGTAATTGCGCATCGAGTTGAGCATTATGTATATACCGAGGTATATACAGTGTGTCTGGCTTCAAGTATTAACATCCTTGTATTTCGAAGGAAATAAGTTTTTTCGAATTGTACTACTCAAAAAGACAAAGTTTGATTCATCATTTTATGGTATTCTGTCATTGAAAATACTGGAACATACATCGCAAAAATCAGGAAACTATTCACATTATATAGGAAGTATTTTATTCTGAAACCTCCATACAAACACCTAGGAGTTCTGAAAAATCATTTTTTAACGTTTGGCGCTTTAGGTGTTGTTTTTTTTTTCAAGTTTTGGAGATTATAAGTTCTTGGAAATACTACCTTAGGCAATGTATTCCAGGGCTTTTCCGTTCAATAGAGAAATGAGTTTTGATATAGTGCTGTTCGACCTCGTGTTCGACATATTTCGAGGTTGATGACGAAAAGATGTGCGCAGTCAGCTTGGTTTCAAAAATACCTCGACAAATATCAATTCATGATATTTTCATAAGTAATATCACGATATACTGAAGTTTTTAGATGATTCTGTCGCTTCATTCATTAACAATGAAAGACAAAATCACGAGCAAAATCATGAGAAGGTATTCAGAACAGAGGGGTATTTTGCTAGACTATTTCACGTTTTCCTATTCGTTTGTGTTTGCTCTACCTGCTGAACTTGAATTTTTCTATGATTTTCTCTGTCTACATTATTCCATGAACAGATACAACCGAGGATACAACTATGGGAACAAAATCAACTTTAGCAAGTTCAGCAACACAGATGAACATACCTTATTATTGAGTGATTCATTCTGACAAGTACAGCCATAATTATATTTTGCCAAACTGACAGACCACGTGACAGACTTTGCTACGCTATCCATGGTTACATCGTTGGAAACATCAACGCTGATAGACCAATCAGAATTGAAAGACAGCTTATGTTTTTGCGATAAGCACACGTTGTCTCAGGCTTGTGATTGGTCATCAAATTATATGTGATCAGTGAAATAGTCCTCAAAATTAAGTATCACTGTCGAGATCACTGTTCTGTTATACATATAAAATAATAAATAAAGAACATTTCGATATGACTCGACCTTCCTGAATGTTTTTGTGTTCAAAATCCCAAAAGTGTGTTGAAATTAATAGTAATCCTTCATGTCTTTACAGTATTTGGATAACGTTACAATAAATTCATGTGATACTCGATTTTTGTTAAGAATATGATACGAGATATGATAGAATTTCAACCAAACAATAAAATGATAGGATAACATAATATGCCGAGTAATATGCTCCTTCGATTGTTTTTATAAAATGGATAGGTACAGAGAAACTGGATCATTACGACTAGTTTTTATTCTAAACACACGAACATACCCCTGACAATTTAATTCATGTATAAAAAATCCCATAAGCCGCTGTGATTTTGTCCTCGATTTTGTTATTATTACAGTGAAAATATTCCCAACTTCTCAAAGGACAATACGAACGAACCTAATTGAAAGCATGATAACCAAAATTGTAAACAAATCATTGATGGCGTTTATGTGAATTTCTCTCAAAAATTTGGTAAGCCGCTGTGGTTTTGTCAATAGGACAGCGAAACAAGTTTTCTCTAAGTTTTCCAGCGACAAAACTAAGGACAAAACGAAACATAATTTTCGGAACCATGACAACCAAAATTGTGAACAAATCTTTGATGATGGCGTTCATGTCAATCTTTCCCAATCTAGCGTTTTCTGAATAGTATCTAATCTGTAGAATTGTCGCGATTTGGAGTGGAGAAATTGAAAAATCCTCGGAAAAGTCAGTCAACAATAATGTGATTTACACATTTACACATTCATCTCGACATTCATTAAATTGTCTTACCGAATGACACTCAAGCATTTTTTGTGTCGAATTGAACATAAAATTCATACACTACACTGTTTTCAGTTTTAATCATCTCCTGAAGATGCTAACATAGTTAGCGAAACACGTGTCGAGGCGTTAAAAAAATCGGTTTGGTTAGTGGTAAAACTGTGTAGTGTATTATCGTGCCAAAGGTTCCAGTCTTCGGATATATTAACATTTATAATTCCAGTATTGCCTTTCGAAAATTTAACTCAAAAACTGCCAGAAAGAATGACTCGTCCTACGGACTCGCAGGGCAATTGTTTTGGTTCAATTTCCAGGCAACAAACGTCTCATTGAAATGTCAAATTTACTTTGACAAAAAAAGCTTTCCTGTAATTATAAGTGAAAAATCATTTACAAATAGAGTTTTGTTGCCTTTAGGAAATCCAATTCAAAAAACTGCCACAAAAATTACTCGTCCTACGAAGGCACTTTTTTCATTTAATTACCAAGCAACAACATGCTTATTGAAATGTCAAGACCGCCACGAAAAAAAAATGCTCTCGTGTAATTATTATATGTGAAAAAAATCGAAATATTCGCGAGATAATCCTTGGTAAATACCTGCAGCCTTGTTCCTGGTCCTCGTCTGCTCCTCGTCCATCAGCGGGCTCTTATTCCTTCCCCAAACGCCAACCACCGCCACAGCTACCACCAACAAATTCCTCCACATCATCGCTCGTCCAAGACACTGACACTCACCAAACACCAAAAAAAAATCAAATCAAATGATCGTAACCCAGCGATCTCCAAAATCTCGATCAAGATCTGCCGAACATGTCGGGCTGTATTTTATGTAACAGTGTTCGATCGTACCCGCTCGACTCGTCTAAGTGAGGACGTTGCGTGCACTGAAGCTTTGCCAGCCTCGCGCCAGGAGGAAGAAAACGCGCACGGATAACCTCCCCCCTACTCTCGGAGGTCCTGGAGGATGAGGACGAAGAAGGAGGCAGGACCAATGGAGAGCGGCCGGAGAATCGACGGGACGACGGGCTGGTCTGATCTGCGGTATAGGCATGATAGGGGTGACCGGTAGCGGCCGGCGAGGTGTCGGTCAAAATAACAATAATAAGAGAATAGTAAATTGTTGTTTCCTGTGACGGGAAAAAGTTTGGCATTTCATCTCTGTAGGCAGGTTATAAAATGTCACTTTTCATAAATTACTTTTTTCCCGTGGGAAAAAAGTGAGTACTTTTTTCGCGGATATATATCACATATATTTACACTGTTGATGGTTTTTGATTTGCTATAGTTCCGAAAAATGAGTCAATAATACCGTCTCCAAGAAAGAACTGCAAGTCCTATTATCTTCCATTCGACTTCGCGGTTACGTAAATTACTGAACAACCACTAAATTCGCAATTTCTTGAAAGCAAGTCACAGAATTAGACTGACAGAAGTGGCATCAGATATTTGATCACTTCAAAAGAATGATAAAGATGCCTACAACGCAGGTGACCCTACTGTTAAAAACTTAAAATTTCACGTCGATAATTTTCAGATTTCAAGATAATGTAATATCTTCTCAATATTGATTCGTACGAAGGCCTGGAAGGAGCACGTAAAATAAAAGAAGATCAACTCTTCAAAATTCTGAGTTATAACTCGGAATTATAAAATTCCGAGTTATATCTCGGAATTTTACATTCGAAATTCCGAGTTATAAATCAGAATTTCAAAATTCCGTGTTATAACTCGGAATTTCACATTAAAGTTCCGACTTATTGCACGGAATTTTACATAAAATTTCCGACTTATATCTCGGAATTCTAAAATACTGAGTTATATAACTCGGAATATTGGATGTAAAATTCCGAGTTATAACTCGGAATTTTGAATGTAAAATCCCGATATATAAGTCGGAATTTTAAAATTCCGAGTTATAACTCAGAATTTTGAAGAGTTTTATTCTTTTAATTTTATGTGTCCCTTCCAGGGCTTCGAAGATTCGTCCTTTCTTCTGTCACAGAAAAAAATAGTGCATTATACACGAGAAAAATATTAGATTTCAGCTCACGGTTTTTTGTCTCCCTCCGCTACGCCTCGGGAGACAACACAACCTGGAGCTAAAATCTACAACTTTTTTCCCTTGTACAATAAATAACTATCATTAGATTAGATAGACGCTTCCGCCTCGCAAATGCAAAATTCGCTTGTCATACAAAGTGTCACTTTAGATCCGGATGAAACATGCTATTTTTTCTGCAACCGAACCAATTAAGTCTAATAAATATGTGAAGTAACCACCAATGTCGTACTATATGTATGCAATGCAACAAATAATGATGAATAATCCATGTGGTGAGAATATTCTACTTGTATTAACAGCAGGTTCATTCAATTTTCAAGGATGTTCGAATTGTAGTTTCAATATAAATACAACCACAGGACATATTATTTGTGTATGGACCAGGTGCTCTAATGGCAAATACCGCGTGGTATAGGAACAAGACGTGGAAAATGTTTGGTTAGTGAGCATATCAACAATAATAAAAACGATTATTCATTCCTCTCCATACTACACCGTGTTTGACTTGAGACTTGACAATCAGATAGAGGTAAACAATATCGTTGTTTGAGAAAAAACCATTGTTGCCGTGATTATTCAAAAACAAGTTATCCATCCCGAGAATAACGAATGAAATACAGATCAAGGAAGTATGGGAATCAAAAAAAAAAAAACTCAACTGAGATGTTTAGGATTCCTATACTTAACTATAATAAGGTATATTTATATCTCCAGCATTGGTATGAAATGCCAAATCTGCCAAAATCGGAATCTAGTCAGGTATGCGTCCCAACCCAAATAACCAACAGTAACAGTGTTGTTTATTCCTGATGACGTCTAGTACATCCTTTTTAGATTCTAGGAGCTAAAGTTCAACTAAATGTGTTGCCTAGCTACATACCTATGTCTGTGTCAGTATTAGGAACGTCAATTCAAGAGCTAATTTTGGTATTATCAGAGATTATACGTATTATAATAGACGATTTTTGTGTGGGTTGCAGAAAAAAGTATTTTAGTGTTTTTCTGAAAAAAATTATATAATGAATTTATTACTTATTGTTAGGTTTAAGTTGTGATGTGAATATAATTTGATTCGTTATACGTGATGATTTCATGTTTTTATCATATGCTGTGGAGTAAGTGCAGTGAACGAGTAGGTACTTTGAATTTTGAAACTGACAATCGAAATTTATTATTTGGCGGCGGCGCGGCGGCATCGTAATAGTTAGCCCCCGGCGTAAGTGAGTAAATATCCGGCATTGCAAATAACCAAACGTAACAGTGTTGTTTATTCTTGATGACGACTAGTACATCCTTTTTAGTTCCTAGGAGCTAAAGTTCAACTTTAGCTCCTAGGAACTAAAGTTCAACTTTAGCTCCTAAGAACTTAATACGTTGCCTAACAACATACCTATTTTTGTGACTCGTCGGCTGAGGCCTCGGCTGAGGCTGAAGCCTCGGGATATAATCTTGGTACCTGGGTAATAATAATAATGATATTGGTTACTACCTTGGTGTATGAAAACTATTACTTGCCGAAATACGTATTCATGTACGAGAGCGTAAAAAGGCCACTGAATTTTCTACTTCTTTCTCTGAATCCAAATTTTTTTTTTGAGAAATCCGACTTTTTTCTCTGAATTCAGACTTTTTTCCGAATTCAGACTTTTCCTATAAATTCTAAACGATTTTATAATAATTTTGAGAATAACAATTTGCTTGCCGAATAACGTATAAGCGTAGGATGTAGGAAGGCTGCACTGAAGTCAGACTTTTTTCTCTGAATCCGAACTTTTTCGTCTGAATTCAGACTTTTCCTCTTAATTCTAAATGATATCATAAGAATTTTGAGAATAACAATTTATTTGCCGACATACACTGTAGAAAATTCCTCTGAGTGAATGCATATGTGGTTGAGAGTGAATTTACTGATTGACATTTTTGAGTGAATTCTCAACTCAAACTAGATATTTCATCAAGTTCTCATATCAATGAGAATGTTTATAAAAAATTTGATTGAATCGGTTCATGAATTACCATTTTACACAGTCGAGTAGGGTGCAATTTCAACTCAATCGGGCGTGGACCGAAATTGACTCATTATTGCGTGGACATTGAGTGAAATTTCACTCAATTTTTTTTTCAGTGTACGTATTCATACGAGAGCGTAGAAAGGCCACTGAAATCAGACTTTTTTCGCTGAATCCAAACTTTTTTCTCCGAATTCAGACTTTTTTTTCTAGACTCAGACTCTTTTTCTGAATCCAAACTTCATTCTCTCAGAAGATCGTAACCCAGCGATCTACAAAATCTCGATCAAGATCTGCCGAACATGTCGGGCTGTATTTTATGTAACAGAGTGTTCGATCGTGCCCGCTCGACTCGTCTATGTGAGGACGCTGCGTGAACTGTGGCTATGCCAGCACAGCCAGCATTGCCAGCCTCGCGCCAGGAGGAAGAAAACGCGCACGGATAACCTCCCCCCTACTCTCGGAGGTCCTGGAGGATGAGGACGAAGAAGGAGGCAGGACCAATGGAGAGCGGCCGGATAATCGACGGGACGACGGGCTGGTTTGATCTGCTGCGGTATAGGCAGTGCCGGTTTTACCAGGGGTCTTTTGGGTGCTATAGCACCAGGCTGCAAAATCTTCAGGGCGGCTATATGAAAATACAACTGCACATCTTCTGTCATCAGCCATTATCTGGATATTTTGATTTTTTACACGAAAGATTCGATCACTACACTACATAAACTGAAATGTATGTTAAGATGTGAATCATCCCGAGAAAAGCTCAATTGGGAGAGTGTTTTATTTTAAATTGCAGATTTGAAATTTTTTGTCGGACTTCCACCTACAAATCTTGTTCAGAATCATTTGACTTTCTGTTCAAGATAATGTCAACATTGTCAGCAGAGGATGGAAATTTGATCAAATTGGCAACTAAACTACAAAGTATGTAGAGGATCTGGACAAATTTGTTTCTGTCGAATGTTATTCATCTGAAAAAAACAGTTCTCTCTCCTAGAGACTAAAGCAGAAACTCCTATTATGGAATAAGTCCAAGTTCTACATGAGAATAATGTAATATAATATCTTCTCCTGAAGATGCTAACATAGTTAGCGAAACACGTGTCGAGGCGTTTAAAAAATCGGTGTGGTTAGTGGTAAAACAGTGTAGTGTATTATCGTTCCAAAGGTTCTAGTCTTCGATATAAAATAACGATAATAAGAGAATAGCAAATTTGTACCACTTGATAGAATCTACCATTATTTACTCCTTTTGAAGGCGTTAAGTGTGTTTTTACTACCACAATAATTTTTGTCATTTTATAAACCACTAGTCAATAAAGCCATCTCTGTCATACTGAAGCCAAATTCACTGTTCTGATGCGATATTGACAGGTATGGTACTCGAATCTAGTAGGTATTTATCAATAACTACTTGTCATTTGCTGTCAAGGTGACTAGATTTCAATTTGAATTGAAAAGAAGTGCTTTCATAGTGACATAGTTCCACATTTCAATTTCAGAGAACTCTAATGATTGAAATTTATTGCTAGTGGTGAAAAAAATGTTATATACACTGTGTCCCACTTACCATGCTCACCATGGGTATCTTTTTAATAGTGAGAGATACGAGGTCGGTTAAATGACACCAAATGTGGAGTTTGTCAAGGCCAACTATAATGTGAAAAAATATTTTGATAAAATCTATTCGTTTTTGTTTTATACGCAAAAAACAGATTTTGATCATTTTCATGTCTCCTCCGTAACTTCTTTATTTATGAAAACATTCAAATAGGAATTTCACATTCTCATGGCAATTTTTCAAAGTGATTTTGAAAAAAATATGAAAGTAATA